CCCGGCCAGTGCGGTGTCGGGCGGCGCCGGGCAGCCGCGCCCGGGAGGAAGGGCTAAGCGCTTGATCCTTTACTCTTCTTCGCCCAAGCCTTCCTGAGAGTGCCCCCAGTAAGAAAATCAGATTTGTAGGGGAGAGTGAGGTCGGCAACATGAGCCATCGAGCTCTGAAGCGACCCAAGGCAGGAACTGGGAACGACCTCAGGAAAGGGCGGCCGAGTGTCGCGCGCTTTGCAGCGGGAGTCTTGGGACTCGGGACCCTGGACGGGCCCGGGCTGACGCAGAGTTGCATGGATCAGGGTTTCGAAAAGGCCCCCGTGCTGAGCGACCCACGCGTGTAGCATCTTCGGTTAGCTTAAGGACAGCCCAGTAATCCCTTGAGCTGTGGGTTGGTAAAATTCTTGAAGAAATATTTGCTGCGACTCTGCAGCTGGTGCAAAGGAGGAAGGGGGTGGGGGAGGAAGTGGCGGGGGAGGAGTAGTGGTTTAAAAAAGACTGGCTAGGGGAAGACAGAGAGACGCAGACGCAGAGGTCGAGCGCAGGCCGAAAGCTGTTCACGGTTTTCTCCTGGGAGTGCGGTGGGATTTTCTTTCTGTGCCGGGTCGGGAGTTGTAAAACCTCCGCGACATTGAGACCTGGAACATGTGATGACCCCTTTCCGAGGAGACGCCTCTTTGAGAATCTGCCCCTTGAATGGCCCGCCGACCACTTTCTTTGGGGATTTGCTTTGCTCGGGGTGGGGGGACGCCGCGGTGCGGAGATTCTCTCCATAAAGGAAGCGAGAAAAGAGCCTACCGGCCGCTCCCGCATCACTTTCTCACACCGATCACCGCGCCTAACCATCTCCCCTCCCGCCCCGCCTGACAGGGTCAGCAGCTTTTGGCTGGGAGCTAAAGCGGCTGCCCGGTTCCTCTGAACACTTGCAGGCGTCCGCCGGCGGGGAATCTAGCTGTCGCTGGGGCAGTATTTCGCCTCGGGGAGACCCTGGATAGGAAGTGGAGGGGGGTGCGCGCGCGTGTGTGTGTCCCTCAGCACTTTCCTTTTTAAATGTCCCTTGATGGTAAGGCTTTCAGCCGCTGAACCTCCACCACCCCCGATCCCGGCCCCACTTGAGCCGGGTTCGCGCTGAAAGGCGCAGCCCCTACAATGCTCCCGAGATCCTCCGGCTTCAGGCCGCTGGCGCGAGGGCCCAGCCCCCGAAGCCCCGAAGGCCGCAGGTAGAGGTGAGGACCGAGTCCTCCACGCGCTGGACCCGGAGATCGGCCGAGGGGTCGCCCGAGCGCCGCCCGGAGTTCC